TTATATCCAAGAAGACAATTCTGACATCTTTCCCCTTGTCCAAAGCTTGATAAATTAGATGTACAAGATGAGTAAGTTGATTTACGGTTGAATCACCTGGCCTAAACCCGGATTGATATTTGTACAAAAAATTAATATCAATTAAATACTCGTAAAGACGTAAAAACACAACCTTTTCACATAGTTTTGATAAAGAAGGTAAAAGTGAAACTGGTCGATAATTTATTTTCAACTGGCGATTATCTTTTTTAAATAGGGGAATGACGTTTGCACGTTTCCACTCCTTGGGATATTTACCTAGTGTAAACAACAAATTAATAAAACCAGTAAAGAAGTCATGGAAACCATCAGCACAAAGTTTTATAATTCTATTACCGATGCCATCATGCCCACACGCTTTGGAAATATCAACACTTTTCATTAAATTCAAAACTTCATCTTTCATTGCTATARCATTGGAAATCGAAACACCCGCCAAAAATGGCGGTAATGAAGGTGGTAAACTATCAGAATCTGGTAGTGATGTCTGGGAAACAAAAAAATCGTTAAACAGACAGGCCTTGGCCTTAGGATCAACAATAGGAAYCTCATCTTCCACTATAGTGGGAATTGAAGAGGCTGTGCTACCACAAAGACGTTTAGTAATCGACCTTGCCTTGCCTTCATTGCAACCACCAAAACCTTAATTTGATGATACAGAAATAATCTCTAGAGGGTGCTAGTGATTGAGCAAAAGGCTATAATAATATTTGCAGTTAGAGAAGTTACACYGTACAATGCACCACTTACTGTACCTCTAGGGCTCTAAGCATAACCTCTGAAGCTGGCTATTTTGTAAGCCAAGATCCTATATTTATTCAATATTTATTGGAATTAAAGTCTTTGTTTCTTCAGGTCTGTTTGCACATAAAGAAGCCAAGTGGAAAAATGAGTTTAAAAATGTTTTAGGTGAACAAGAAAGACCTATGGATGCTGAAGGAACATGTATGTAAAGGGAATTTAGTTTATATTGCAATATTATTTATATATATATTATATATTATCATATGACCCRTATCTGCCCAGGCGCGCGCTCTAAAAAAAACCTTTGGGAAAATGGCGTGAGCAGGGCCTTACAGCTTTGATTGAGCAAGGCCRTACGAATTCGAAACCTGTGACTGTATTGACATAATTTGCTGTGCTCATTCCGTACGGCATCACCTCAAGCCAAATATTTTCCCGTACGGCCCTCCCACACAGCCCTCCCACACAGTCAATAAGTACATATTATTAACAGCTTATAGATTTATTTTTCATTTAGCCAATGAAAATATAGAGGAGACAAGTTTATTTTCAGAGCAGCTGTTGAAGGAGATCAAAAGGCTAACACAAGAAAGAGACATGCTGGCTACACAGGCTGTCAAAGATGCTGAACTACTGGAGTGCCGTGTTGCAAATATCAGAACAGAATATGAGGGCAGTTTAGAAGAGTCTGCACTGAAAATAGAACAGGTTTGACATCAAATAATAAAGATAAAGATAAAATAAAGAAGTTTAGGTCTGAATACTACAGATGTCAGTGAACTGCCACACTGAGAAAATAAATAATAAGCCATGATTCATTACGTGTCATAATGTCTACTGTCATGCCCAAAAAGGTTGATGTTTATCTCTACATTTCTTTGCAGTTTTCAAGTGGAATTTGAATATCTTGCCAGTAAGCATGCTTAAGCAGTTTTCTCCCATGAAACATGCTCAAGGAATGTAGAGATAAACATCAATGTTTTTGGGTGTGAGAGTAGATGTTATGACACGTAATGGTGGGGTGTTTTTTGTCTTGGTTCTGAAGTACGCTGACATCCATAGTAAATGAGAAGTAGAGGATATGTGAGAGTAGATGTTATGACATGTAATGGTAGGGTGTTTTTTATGTCTTGGTTCTGCAGTTCACTGACATCTGTAGTAAATGAGAAGTAGAGGATATGTGAGAGTAGTGATGTTATGACACGTAATGGTAGGGTGTTTTTTATGTCTTGGTTCTGCAGTTCGCTGACATCCATAGTAAATGAGAAGTAGAGGATAGTGGTTAGGGGGAAAGGCTAGACCCTTCTTCTTCCAATCCCTATCCTTCCAAACCCACTTAGATACTTAGTCTATTAAGTCTGTTGATATCTTAATCTTGATACAGTTGCAGTGTGACCTGAAGKATGAAAAAGAGCGCTGCAGATCACTTGCAGAAAAACTCGATGCTCTGGAAACTGTTCTTGAAGAATCAAATGAGACAGTTGACAGTCTTAAAATGGATCTASCGAAACACCACTCAGAAACTGAAAGAAGTAAATAATGTTTAGCTATTGATGTAAAACTCATGTSTGGGCTCCCTTTGGTTAATTTTGTCACAGCATCTGAGATGACCATGGGAGGGTGTGAGTGGGTGGGTGGGTAGTTGTGTGGGAGAGGGAGTGGAAAGAAAGAAAGTGTTATTTTTCCTCCTTTCCATTTGTCCTTTTCATGGGTACCCAGTCTCTCCTAGATGACCTGTTTCTTYAACAAGGCTTTCAATAGATGCCAGCACCCAGCCAATCTTGCCGGGTATTTTACATGAACTTGCCACCTATTTTGATTAAAGTTCCCCAAAATTTTAGGAAAATGTCAGAAAGATTCACTTCCTGCTCCCCCCTATTCATYATGTTTTGCTACTTACTCAAGCTGGTATTAAAAACCCTGCTTTAGCTCCCTCTTCACACTAGTATATGCTTGAACATATATGATTGACTTCAGATGTGTTTTTCAAATAGCACTTGACAAGGCCCTAGCAGACGAACAAGCTAAATTCACTGAACAGTTTGCCCAACTTGAAAAGCAACTGAATGATGTGAGAAGAGAACACACCAAGACARTAGTGGCTCTCCGTCAAGCAGAGCATCAAGTCATGAGAGAGAAAGAAAAATCAGAAGAACAATTAATGCTTCAAAAGAAAGAATATGACATGAAACTTCAGCAGCTTGAAAAGCAGAACACAAATCTTGAGAAAGAAAGAAATATGTTGGTAACAACTGTGAGACAGGAAGGTCTTACTCTTCCTCGGATGCCACCCAAGGGATATATATCTTCTACCGGTAATATYTTGTTTCCCCCTCAACTTGCAAATTTGCAGCTTTTTGATTGGTTCCTAAAAATTGTCTATAAAGGACCAACACTACAAGCCCCCAATTCAAATGGGGTTATGGTAGGTTTGTCAGAAAAATAAAATWAAAATAGTGGATCTAGTAGCTTGTTGGTACAGTAGGTTGTTATTAGCATGTTTGAAGGTTAATGTAGGGTGTTGGTAAGGTGTCAGTACTGTAGTGTTGGTAGGTTGATAGTATGTTGTCAGTAAGGTGTTTGTTGGTCATCAGTATGGTGTTGGTAGGATGACAATAGGGTGTTGGTAAGGTGTCAGTAGAGTGTTGATAGATGGTCAGTAGGGTGTTGGTGAACTGTCAGTAGAGTGCTGATAGGTTKTCAGTAGGGTGTTGATAGGTTGTCAGTAGGATGTTGGTAGGTTGTCAGTAGGATGTTGGTGGGTTGTCAGTTGGGTGTTGATGGGTTGTCAGTAGAGTGTGAATAGGTGGTCAGTAGGATGTCAGGACTTGGGGTGTTGGTAGGGTGTCAGTAGAGTGTTGRTAGGTGGTCAGTAGGGTGTTGGTAGTGTCAGGACGTAGGGTGTTGGTARGTGGTCAGTAGGATGTCAGGACATAGGSTGTTGGTAGGTGGTCAGTAGGGTGTTGGTGTGGTGTCAGATGGGTGTTAGTAGGCTACAATGAAAAACAGGGTTACTCTAAAACTAATTTAATTTTTTTCTGCTTTGCAGATGACTCAGATACCAACCACAAAGAAAAAGAAAACAAGAATTTATCTGCAGGAACAAGTGAAGTAAAGCAGCCAACCAGACAAAAAAGCAAAAAGGGAGACAAAACTGCCAGAAGTAAAAAGCATTTAGAACCTAAAAATACTAATGAGAGAGAATCAGATTCAAAGGCCRTGGCTTCTGCACTTTATGACCTGAAGTCATTATCTGAAGCAATCCTAAAGATGAACGATAATGATGATGACCATGAAATTGTATAGGGGTGTGTGTATGCATGGCTTTGGCTCCTGTAGTTACAAGTGTATGATGGAAGTTACAAATGTATGTTGAAAGATGATGATGATGATGATGGATAATGGTGACAATGWTATTTTTAGGGTGTCTGTATGCATGACTTCAGCCTCGGTAGTTATAAATGTATGATGGAAATTACAAATGTACGATGAAAGATGATGATGATGGATAATGATGATGATAATGATATTGTATAGGCATGTCTGTATGCATGGCTTCTGCTACTGGAGTTACAAATATATAAAGCTAGATATATAGATAATGGATGATGATGATGATTATCGATGATGGTGATGATATGTTTTGGATATGTTATGTCTGTATGTATGGCTTCTGCTTCTGAAGCAACAGTTGGACGATGTTGATAATGTTATTAAGATGAATTCTTTGGTGCTTTTATAAGAATTTGAAGTTATTCTCTGAAATACTTTTAAATAGTGTAAATACAGTGTAGGATAAGATGATGATCATGACTGGTGTTTTGAGGCATTAAATTTTAATAATGTGAAAACAATATTGTAAAATAAAGGTCCTAAAATATCAAGTAATTTAACCTGTATTTCAAAATTTCTGTACACTTTTTCTCAGAAGAATTATGTCAAAGATAAAAATATGAGCCTTTTGAAAGCAAAACTACTGTTGTTACCTATATTACATTTGTAAAACATAAGTTTGTTTAAAAAAAAGTTGTGTAAAAATGTGATACTATAATTGAATATCTTAAAATATTTTTGTTTAAAGAGTATTTATTTCCTTATATCAATAGGTATGAAATAACACAGTGCTATCTTATAAAAGATATTTCCAAACAAGACATACTTTGCAAGTTTACAATGAACGCTTAGTTCATTTTTGCATAATACATAAAGCTTGGCTTGGCTACTTTTTAAGCATTTCCACAATTTCCTTACACATAGGTGTGGCAGATGCTGGGTTCTGGCCAGTCACAATGCGTCCAGATTTCACCACATTGGCCTGAAAGTTATCAGCTGCTAGAAATTCTGCACCATGTTCCTTAAGCCTTGTCTCCAGTAAGAAGGGCATGGGATCAACCAGTTTGACAAACTCTTCCTCTTTGTTTGTGAAACAGGTAACCTTTTGGTTCTTCACCAAATAATCTCCATTTGAAAGCTTAGTATTTACAATACCTAGGGGGGAAAATAATGTGAGAAATATAAAAGATTTAGATACTCTGATCTAAATGTGTGATGCTGAGAGAAAAGTAGGAAACTGCAACACATATCTCTTTTAGAATAACAAATTAATGAAAAATACTGGGGTTTTTTCTAGAAAAAAAAAAAAAAAATTCAGAGAGTGTGCAGGAAAAATTATGTGACAGTGTCATTTAGATACCCTTGTCTAAAATTGACCAATAAGAGCATGTGAAAGAACTTCGTTATTTAAAAAAATAGATTCAATATATTTCTGCAAAAGCAGATGGACATCACAGGAACATCACACAGCCCAACATAACCAGATTTTTTATGAAAACAGGAAAGGGAATTTCTAAGGACATTAAATATATTGTTGAATATTTAATCTTATTTGGATTTTCATGGGAAATACGACACACTAGACAGTAATTTCTTTCCTTCTGCAATGCCTTAAGCACATTTTCCCATACAAATCCTAATAGAATCTTTAAATTTAATGCAATTTCTATTATTCTACATGAGCTGAAACTTTGAAGGTGCTCTTTCCATTTATGGGATTCTTTTTCATGTGATTGCTTTGTTCAAGGGGAGTAGTGTTATTACAAATTGCCTGCTACTAATATTGTACTAATTCCATAGCCCAAATAGATGCACACCAACTAACCTGCCGGCCCATGACATACTGCAGCAACAATTCCTCCCTTTTCATACACACTTGCGACAGCTTTATTTAGGACTTCGCTGTTGGGGAAGTCAAACATGGGACCRTGTCCTCCAGCACAGAATATCACATCGATGCCAGACAAATCTACTTTGTCAATAGCAATGGAATCCTTAAAGCTGCTGTCCTTGTCATTGATATTGAAGTCCTTCCTAAAGGGTTTGCATTCTTCGTCTTGTTCAAAAGCCTCGAAACTTGAAGGGTCCTTGTGGTGTTAAAAAATATTAACTAGATGGTTTAGTTTGATTGAATGGCACATTTTTCATGTCAGAGTAATTAGAGACTTTTCAAAATTTATTAAAGGGGGTATGGTTGAGAAAATTTCTTTCAAGAAATTTTAGTGATCCTGCATGAACCATTCAATACTTATTGGAGGAGGTATGGTGAGAAAATGGGAGGCCTCTCAAGAAATTTTGGTGGCCTGCAAAAGTGGGGTCTTGAATGTGCGAAATAATTGATGAGTTGGGTYGTTGGGTCCAAAAAAGATTAGGCATACGAATAAGGGGCTGGACAAATAAAATGTAAAAATATTCAAAACTCACTACTTCGAGAACATACTTATGTAACCACGTAAAAAAAAAGCAAACAAAAAAAACACAAACTTTTCTCAAACTTACCATCGGAGCATTGCCTCCCTTTGGACTTGCCATAATGATCTCATATCCAGCATTCTTGAATACCAAATATGGGTGAGCTACTTCTGGCAGATACCARCCAGTCTTCATGTCCAAGTTACCCATCTTACCTTGGTTGGTTAAAACAAGTAGAACCTTGACCATTTTGAGTGTCTGTTTTCAAAAAAGAGAGTGATGAAGAGAGCATTTTTATGTAGTTTGCTACTGATCACACGTCAATTTGTTTTACATTTTCTACGATTTAAGACTGTGCATGACAACAGGACTTCCGTTTATAGACTGTTTTCTCTTCCTTAACGATAAACAAGCGATAGTTTTAGGGTACATTCGATGTATTTGGTTTGTATAGTTCATAAATTTCGCTCAACAATTGTTTAAAATTGGAATATTCGTATCGTCCAACAGCTTTAAAACTTTGAACCATAGCCAATTAAATATAATGTAACCTCAGTCTCTGCACCGTAAACTACGTACCTGACCAGATTTGAAAAGCAAGTAGTTGAATAATTTTTCGTAGCTAACTGAMTCTTATCTATGGTAGTTCCAAAGTTGTTTTAGAGGGTGGGGTAGAACTTGAAGGAATGTTATGTAACGCCTAGACAATTGGGCTCCCTGTGGTTCAAAAATTTAACGGTAATAGAATGATAAATGGGTCTTCCAAAACATTCAAAATATCTAAAACAAATTAAAGTCATCAAATGCATATCAATTAAACTCRCAAAAAAAACTGGATAATGTTGAAAAGAAAAGAAAAACCGTACTTTCCGCAGGCATGTATGGGAATGATGCGTTTGGGATACCTGTGGCGGATCGACTT